TTATTTCATTTACTATCTTTTCGCTGCCTTTAGAAAGTAAGCTCTATTAGGGCGGCAATTTTTATCAGTTCTATTTGCTATTGGATTCCATGTTTGTTTTATGGATGTAGTGAACACATCAGTGTTCTCATCCAGGTCAGTAAGACCAAGCCTAGAATCTGGTACATTCTACCAGAGGTTGCTGCCCTCATCAGATTGCTGCTGATCTTTTGATCACTTACAGATCCACTTAATGGTATTAGCATCCAGCTCAACTTGTCTTCACTTTATCCAGAAGTCTGTCAAGAGAGTTCGTCACTTTTTTTTGCTGAAATCAGATATTTTATGTTGGTGGTAGCTCTGTGATCTATTAATCTGGAAGTTCTTTTCCAAAAAAAGGAAGTAGGGTTCATCTGACATAACTTATCACTTCCTCTTTCTAACTGCACACAAATCATCCTTTTGATGACCTTTTTTTTTTGAGGTGAGGTCTCACTCTGTCACCCTGGCTAGAGTACAGTGGTGTCATCATAGCTCACTGCAGCCTCAAACTCCTGGGCTCAAGTGATCTTTCTGGGCAGCTGGGACTACAGGCACATGCCACCACACCCTGCAAATTTTTCTATTTTTTGAAGAGATGAAGTCTTGCTCTTGCTCAGGCTGGTCTCGAACTCTTGACCTCAAGGAATCCTCCTGCTTCAGCCTCCCAGAGTGCTAGGATTACAGTTGTGAGCCACCACTCTGACCTGATGAGTCATTTTAAACTCTACTCTGGAAAGGGCATTCATCAGTGACATGCCCAAACTCCCTCCAAGTCTGAGATCCTCTTGGCTGAGGCTTGTTTCTAGAGTGGGCATTAGAGGATGGAGCAAGCACTCCACAAAGGTGGAAGGCTTAGGCTCAGATGCCACTGTTGTGTCGCATTGGAATATCACATCCTTTTTTTCTGGGTCTTAGCTTCTGCAGTCTATCAAATAACAATGGTAATACAATTTTCAAACATATAGTACAATACTCTATTGATTGCTATTTATTTGTGCCCTTTTGGTTTTGTGTCTAGTTGCTACATACAGACAATAAGGATCTGAGATTTTAGATATATTTAGTTTATTTTTATTGCTATTTGATCCAAAGAACTTACATGTCTCTTATCCATTTCCTTTTCTCCCCATGCTTTCTGACATAGCTGTAGTTTAGGTCCTTATGATCTCTTCACTGAATTATCGCAATAGCTCCAGGCTTCCCATCTCTTGCTTCTCCATCGTAGACTCCTCAGTCAGGTGAATTGCCTGGAACGTGGCTTTTCAAAATGGGGTCTGTGATCACAGCATCATCATATCCTGGGAGCTTATTAGAAATGCAGACTCTGAGGCCCCCCTCCAACCCTACTGAATCAGAATCTACATGTCAACCGGACCTGGACTGAGTGGTGGCTCATGTCTATAATCCTAGCCCTCTAGGTGGCTGAGGCAGGATGATCACTTGAGGTCAGCAGTTCTAGACCAGCCTGAGCAAGAGCCAGATCTCATCTCTTCAAAAAATAGAAAAATTATCAGAGCCTGGTGGTGTGTGCCTATAGTCTCAGCTGGTCAGAAGCCTGAGGCAGGAGGATCACTTGAGCCTAGGAGTTTGAGGGTGCAGTGAGTTATGATGATACCACTGTATGTACTTTAACCAGGGTGACAGAGCGAGACTCCATCTCAAAAACAAACAAACAAACAACAATAACAACAACAACAACAAAAAAACAGGCCCTGAAAGCAATTCATACCCACATTAAAGTTTGAGAAGTACTGTCTTTTCTTCTGCCATGCCATTCCACTTCTAGGAGGCATCCTTAACATGCACATTGAACCATCTCCAAACTATCTCAGGCAGAAAAGGACCTACCTTAATTTTCAAATGAGATGTTTTTGACATGCAGATGTAAATATTCACCTATATCTTCTAGCCATTGGTTCTGAGAATGATTTAAAAGTTTGTCTAGATAACTTAAAGCAGTTGTAAAAATGATTGACACTTCCTTCTGGTAATAGCAAAGTATATTGTGTTTTGGCAAGTAAGGATTAGGTGGTACTTGGGAAGCATATGTGTTGGGTTGATTGGAAATGCTCCTATTATTTATTATGAACTTATGATGTGTTTGACACAATGACAGGTATTTTATATACTGACATTAATCCTCACAATAATATCATTTAGGCAGGTGTTTTTATCCCCATTTTACATGTGAGGAAACTGAGACTCAAAAGTATAGGTTGTCCAGAGTCACAGTATTAGAATTCAGCCTGCATTATAGTAACACAGACATCACAATGCAGTGGTTGAGACAAGGGGCTCTGTCCTGAGGGGACAGGTGACCTGGGTAGGAGGTATCGATGATCTCTGAGGTCACTCAGTTTTCTGGTCCCATGCTGCTTTGTCACCACCAGGATGTTGTTCATATCCATGTGGTTGGAGCTGATTCCTGTCTTGAGAAGGGGGAAAGGGAAAGTGAAGGGCATGCAGTTTTCTTATGAAAACATTATCTGGAAGATCTACCTGTCATTTGTACTCAAATTCTTTAGTCAAAGCTTGGTCACATAGCCACACCTAGTTGCAAAAATAGGAAGAGAAATGTGGAAACTTGGGGAGTTATTTACTAAAAGGAAGAAGAGGAATGGCTAATAGGGGAAAATTATAGGCTCTGCTATAGGCACCAAGCTGATTAGTGGAAGGGCTAGATTCAAACCCTATGACTAAAACCCATGATCTTCCCATCACATTTTTCCACCACTTCTCATAGTTGACAGTGAGTAAATGTTTGTTGAACTGAGATAGATTGAGATATCATATGTAAGCCTTTTTATTGTTTGAAATTATTTCTTCCTTCTCCCTTGCCTCCCTGATTACTTAAGTGGTTCTGCCTGAACTGTCACTATTTTTCATGATGTTATTTTAATGTATAAAAGAGAAAACTATTCATCTTCCTTCAGTAAAAATACTATAATAAAGTAATCTACCAATTATTAGAGATTCTGTAGAACTATATGAGATGTGTTAATGGATTAACGATACTGATTTTTTAAATGACCAAATAACTATTTCCTTTAAAATAGGTGTAGTCTTAGTAGAATGCCATTGCTCAAAACATTTTTTTTTTTTTTTTTTGAGACAGGGTCTCGCTTTGTTGCCCAGGCTAGAGTGAGTGCCGTGGCGTCAGCCTAGCTCACAGCAACCTCAAACTCCTGGGCTCGAGTGATCCTTCTGCCTCAGCCTCCCGGGTAGCTGGGACTACAGGCATGTGCCACCATGCCCGGCTAATTTTTTATATATATATCAGTTGGCCAATTAATTTCTTTCTATTTGTAGTAGAGACGGGGTCTCGCTCTTGCTCAGGCTGGTTTTGAACTCCTGACCTTGAGCAATCCGCCCGCCTCGGCCTCCCAAGAGCTAGGATTACAGGCGTGAGCCACAGCGCCCGGCCTCAAAACATTTTTCACACTTTGTTTTGACTGACATTTTATCAACTCTTGCTGCACTATTGCTTCATGATACCACCATCAAAATCTCAGAGATATACAGCAATATTTAACTCATGTATATGTTACTCTCCAGGGGGTTAACTATTTAGGCTGGTCTTAGCCTGTTAGCTCTGTTTCAGTTATTTCTTACCCTTCTTTGAAATAACAGACTAGCATGAACTTATTTTTCTCTGGCAATGTCAGCAGCATAAGAGAACAAGTGAAAATATTTGAGGCTTCTTGAAGCCTAGGCTGGGAACTGGCCCAACCTATTCGCTAGCCAAAGCAAGTCATATTGGCTAAACCCACAGTCAAGCACCATGGAAAATGTACTACACCTTAATTAATTAAGAGAAAATAGGCCAGGTGCGGTGGCTCATGTCTGTAAGCCTAGCACTCCAGGAAGCTGAGGCTGGCGGATCGCTCAAGGTCAGCAGTTCGAAACTAGCCTGAGCAAGAGCGAGACCCTGTCTCTACTAAAAATAAAAAGAAATTAATTGGCCAACTAAAAATATATAGAAAAAATTAGCTGGGCATGGTGATGCAGGCCTGTAGCCCCAGCTACTCAGGAGGCTGAGGCAGACAGATTGCTTGAGCCCAGGAGTTTGAGGTTGCTGTGAGCTATGCTGATGCCATGACACTCTAGCCAGGGCAACAGAGTGAGACTCTAAAAAATAAAAAAGAGAGAGAGAGGAAATATAGTCACATGGTAAAGGACTTGGTGAAAGACAGGGGCCAACAAAGAAACCCGCCATTGCTTTGCCTTTAGCAAGCTATTTTTCGTCTTGCAATGACAGTAAATCTTTATGGGTAGCTTTGATTTTTTTTTTTTTTTTTTTTTAGACAGAGTCTCACTTTGTTGCCCAGGCTAGAGTGAGTGCCTTGGCGTCAGCCTAGCTCATAGCAACCTCAAACTCTTGGGCTCAAGTAATCCTGCTGCCTCAGCCTCCCGAGTAGCTGGGACTACAGGTATGTGCCACCATGCCCAGCTAATTTTTTTCTCTATATATTAGCTGGCCAATTAATTTCTTTTTATAGTAGAGACAGGGTCTCACTCTTGCTCAGGCTGGTTTTGAACTTCTGACCTCGAGCAATCCGTCCGCCTCGGCCTCCCAGAGTGTTAGGATTATAGGCATGAGCCACCGCACCCGGCTGAATTGTTTTTGTTAGTAAAAATAGCTAAGTTTATGATTAGAATAAGAGAATCAGACTAGGTTTATCTTTGAGCAGAATGATAGCTAGTTAGGCATATGATATAAAATAATGAGATTTTCCTAAAAGAATTGGTTTAAGAATATGGCATTTGGTGGTAGCATAGGTGGAATAAATGTATAACCATTTAAGATCACCACTTTAAAAGGAAAACACTCATTTGCACATTTGGTTCTATAATAGCTTTTTAAGAAATAAACCTTATGACTTATATGTTACTACTTTTTTTCAAAATGGGAAGAAGGGTGAATAGAGGCTCATCCCCTGATCCTTTGACTAACCCTGGAAAAATATGCTTTATTGCAGATTCTCATTGCCAAATCCCCTCTGGCTCCCTTCATCTCATTTGTCTACACCATCAAGGAGGAAGGCCTGGTTCTTCAAGGTAAGGTCCTTGGATCAAGCTATTTCTTTAAGTTGATTATGCTCAGTGCTGTCCATTGCTAGTGGTAATTACTGCTGTGGTCCTGACAGAAGCTATTTCAGGACAGAACCAAAGGCCAAGATGAACTGGCCACCCTGATAAGATCAAGAGATTGGCATTTGTGGCAAGAATTTGACAGAGAAGACTGAGGTGGGGATGAGGGAGAACTACAGAATTTCAAAACAGAGCGAGACAACCAAAAAATGGGGATCAAACCAAGAAAACTAGAAAGTGCCACCACCCCAGTCTTCTTCGCAGATTCTGTGGAGAGAACTGGTCCATGAGGCTGTCTCCCACCAGTGTGGAGGGGCCAGCTCCAGGAGCTGGAGAGCCTGTTGGGTCCTGCACCTGCAGGGCACTATATCACGGCTCCATGGGCCCTGTTTCCCCCGCTCTTTCTGGCTACTGTGTTTCCTTTCCCTGTGCTGAAGTTCTGACAGGGCCCTCCTGCTGAGGACCACGCCTGTGGACCTTTACCTTGTGACATGGGCTTGGGACTTGAAAGGAGCTGAGTTCTTGCTCAAAGTAAAGCACCTCAAGGCCACAACCTGGAACTCACTGATCTACAGTGGTTATTCATTCCCAGATGCTGTATACTATGGTGATTAGGAAAGACACCCAACTACAGGTCTTTTCAGAAAACAGTTAAAGTGAAGGAGTAAATTCAAACACCATTAAACTTTAAAGAATCATCTCACAGAGTCAGATGTCCAAAACTGCTTTGTGGATTAAAAAGGGTCCCCTTAGAAGGGCTCAGGGTACACATCTGTCCTCTACTGTCAGGCAGGCCCTACCCACAGAGATGCACAGGCGCACATCTGGCCTGAACCATATTGCCATTGCTGTTGATGGGAGAAATATCTGTCTTGTAGGATTTTGTAAGTTGAGTATTTTTCCCAGGTTTGTGAAACAAGGCAATGAGTGCATTGCAAAGATCTAGCCGGGATTCTGTGGGGCAGGCAGAAGAGTTCACGCTTCTAACAGAGAAATAGGCTGCAGCCTTCCCTTTCCTTCCCCTTCTAAAATGTCTACTTCTTAATGGACTTGCAAAACAATGTGTTTGTTTGGCGAAGCTGATCTCCACAGCAGGGACTCTTGGGTCCACGAAATTTGGGGTAAGAACTACTGACCTTTGGCTCTTAGCCTTTGACTTATGCTATCCAAGTTCCTTGGTAAATATTTTTTTTTACAATTGCAAATATTGTTTTCTGACAAAGAGGCAGAGATTTTAAGACCAGATTAAGCAAAGCAAACAGCAGGCCCCTTTGTTACATACTTTCTAAGGGTGTATAACTAATAAGCAATCAGAAAGCTGGACTTTTATTTACCCATTGCACAGTGTGGCTTTCAGCTCTTCATTTTTAGAGTCTTTCTTAAAAGATTAGAAGTCTAATAAATAGCAAGTTTAGATGGAGAGTGCAAGAAATCCTATGGAGGATTACCAGATAATTTCAGGAGGGAAAGTGTTAGTTCTGCTCAGATGGCTTCTATTGAGAGCCTTGCTATGATGCTTGTACCTTGATCACTGGGCATTTTGTGAAATAGCATTTCTAAGACTGATCTAATTTGGATGACTTTTGGGATAATATTTGTAGGAACAAGATTCACTGAGTTGCCTCTCTGATGCTTATTGCTAAGATAGTCATTTTAACAGGGAAGAGGAAGTTGTTTAGAGAAAATAGAGACTGGAAATACAATGAATTGGTAGAGGTTAAAAACTGCAAGGAATCACTGTTGGAAGTTGGAAAACAGGGACAAGGTAGATTACTAAAGGAGGCTGACTTGGAGCTGTGTGTCTAGGAAAGAGAAAGTCAGGAAAATATCTTATGATGCAAGAACCACAACCAGTAAATAAACTGCCTGGGAGACCTCAGAACCTCACCTGGTTGCTTTCTAAGTTGTTTTCTCTATTTCACTCCCCCAAGCTATATTTCCCTCTCTGAGGTTTTCTGGAGTCAATAGAACCCTTCTGCTCCTGGCAGCCATGCCACTGCAAACAAACCTGTTGGCACTCCCTGTCCGCTTGCTATGTGCTCCCATAGACTTTGGGAAAACAAAAAGGAGATCTGCTCCCCAGAAAAACGGGGTTTCCTCCTTTATTGGAAAGAACCTTTTGATTTCAGTTTCAGCTGGGGTGATCCCGGAAAATCTCTGGAGCCCTAGTTCTGTCAGCTTGAAAATGAAAATATTAACCTTAATTTAAGACTTCAAAAACTGCATGGCAACCCATTGGTGGATTGTGAAATGAAATAGATGAGTCACAACCAGCATTTTAAAAAGGAGAGAGAGAAGAACAAGGAACAGAGAATAAAAAATATCAGATTATATCACATATTGTATAATTTCATAAAATATTTATTGTATGATTATGTGTGTGAACATACACATTATGAGTTTATGTATGGGGGTAGCAGTATAAAAAATGTTTTTCTTACTTAGACTGTAGTAACTAGCCTGGGTGATCTCAATGGCCTTCTCACTTCAGCCTTATCTGATTCTCCTAGGAGATGATGTACTTATCATTCACTTAGCTCAGCACAGTTGTACCCTTGAGATCTCCACACACCGGAACATAAAAGCTTATTTTTTTCCCCATTCTTACCAGATGACTGAGCTAAAAGACACCTGCACAATTCCCCAGGTTTAAAGCAAAGAAATCCTTGATCTGTGGGCGGTAAACTTGGAAAGGTACCAGCAGTCAAAGCCAAGAAGTTTTCCTTGGTGAGGGGTTGCTCTGGCAGGGTAGCCCCTAGCTGGCATGGAGGTTGGCACCGGGAGCTCTGGGTGGGCTGTGCAGTCCATGTCTGAGGGGCTTAGCGACAGAGAGTGGCAGGCCTGGAAGAGTGAGGGCAGCTCCTGTGCTACCAGCTGAGAGATGCTGCCAGCCTCTGGGGCTGACATTCAGCCTTGATAGAGCCGCCTGCGTGGAGTGGTGGGAAAAGCTACCTGTGGGGATGGGCTGGGGGCTGTTAGGAATGTGGGAACAATCCCTCAGTGCCTCTTATCCCTTTGCAAGCCCCAAGATTCCTACCGGCCTGCTAGCCAGCGGGTTTTATAATACCTGAAGAACTCCCGAGTGCACAAGCAGAGGAAGGGAATAAAAGGTGAGGACAAAATTCGATTTACCGGCTCCACAGGCCATTCCTCTCACCCATTCTCAAGGATTAGGATGCTGAGAACAGTGGCAACTGGGGGCCTTATTCCCTTCCCTCCCCTTTGTTCACTGGGATGGGAAGGACAATAAAACGGCAGGCTGGAGAGACTGAGGGGCTGGTTAGAGATTTCTCAGGCTGCTTTTTGAAACACTTGAAGGAGCCGGTTCATGCTATTGTTGTAGTAAAATAGAAAGCGGAACTATTCTCCTTTTGCAAAAAAAAAAAAAAAAAGAAAGAAAAGAAAAAGTAGAAGAAAGGAAACCCACCCTCCCGGCATCTTCAGGAGGCTAGACTCAGGGCATTAGCATGGTAATACCATCCTGTTAGCATCTTCTTTGTCTGGGATCACAGGCTCTGGAGCCTGCACGGTAGATGCTGGAAATACTTAGGCCCCAAAGGAGAGGGAGCTCAAAGCACCAGCTTGCTGAGGGTTCAGACTCCCAGAGGGGCCAGGTCCCAGGCAGAGAGTTCAGCCCCTTTGCGCAACTAAAGTTGGAAAGGTGTGGTGGGAGGGAGGAGGATCTCATGAATCCATTTTTTCTTTTGTTCCCCAGAGTTCACCATGAAAGTTCCAGTGCCCACCAAGTGGAAAAGCTTAGAAGTTTGGCTAGCCTCTTAGAGTGACGCTAGGGTTGCTGGGGCCTAGTGGAGAGGAAAAGGCTGGAGCTGGCCTTAGGAAATCTGCTTTAATGGGGTGGCCCACATGGCTACAGGGAGAGTTTACAGTGAACCCCGACTTGGCCCATGTCTCTAGCAGTGTCCTTTGTTTCCCCAGCAAGCCCCAAATGTTGTGCCGCCCAGAACGCAGCTGCAACTCGAGGCCAGGAATAAAGATCCTGTCACTGAAGGCAGCCAGACTGTGTCACTGACGCGGCAGGAGGCCTAGGGGGAACCCAGGGCGTGGCTCTCTGGGTGCCATCCCAGTTCTCCTGGGGCTCGTGGGATACACGCGCCTGTGGACTTGGTGAAGCAGATCGTAAAGAAGGAAGAGGCTGCTCCAGCAGGGCCCTAGTTTACTCCTTTTCCTCAGGAATCTAGGGAGCATTTGAAAAAGAAAAGCCACATTAGTTTGAACAGGACAGAAGATGTTTTTATATTGTTTTTACAAAATCAAGCTCAGGTATGGTGGGTTGAATTTGGATTCAGGTGCTGTCCTCTACTAGTTTGGGTTTTAATGAGCAGCATAAACCTTGGGAAGGGACTGAGGAGCTCAGAGACCAGGGCACCCAGAGATAGGTACAGAGAAGGTGTGGAAACAACTGGTTTCTTTTTTCTTCAACCACTTAGTATAGGACCCAGAAGAAAACAGAAAACAATGATTTTTTTGTAGAACTGGAAAGCTATGTGCCTCATCTTTCTTGCTTTGCTTTTACAATCAAGAATGGTTTGTTTGATCGCCCTTTGAAGCATTATCGGGAGAGGCATTAATCTCCTCTATTTGTTCCCTTGTCACAAACTTGGGTTAAATTCTTCTACCCCATTTTTTTAGTCACTGAGCCAGCTGGATGATTTATTGAAAAAATTCTTTTCCCCCCAAATACCACCATCTGAGTTCATCAGATTTCAGTTTCAATCAGTAACCCATGGAAATGTTTTATGCCTGCTAGACTCAAAGTGACCCAGAAGATTCTCAGTGTTTCCATCCAGATACGGAGGTGTCTGTATGCCACATACCTGGCACAGCCTGGCATTCTTATGGGAACCTGGGCAAAGAGCCCTGGAATTCAGTGGAGCAGAGAGAGTGAACCTTTCTCCCAGAGGTCACAGAGAAGAGAGTAGAACAGGGGTGTCACATTGTCTGGCCTG